AGGTCGTATGGAATACTTCCAAAATTTGAGGATATCAAAACAATACTCATTGTGTGTCAGACATTCCATGGCTTATCCAGCTGTTTCTCAACTTCCACATTCAGTCCAATTAAATCTCCTGTGAGCACATTCTATTTTCACAAAACTGGATTTTGGATAGCTACAATCACAAATAAGTAGCCGGGTTAGGGAAACAAGACGGCACATAGGTTATGCTGTGAAAAAACTGCTGATACCACGTAGCATCAAGAATTCAAGCTAATCTGGGAAGCTATGGAATAGAGAATGGAAACACAAAAGAGCTTCTTAGACCACGCTCACTGCCCTCAAACACGGCAAAGAAGCAAATGCGCTACATGGTCTTCCCTCGGACTCCGAGACTGATGTTTCACATGGACTTTCGGCTGAGAGCAGCCAGAAAACAAAATCTTCCTGATAACACTGACAGAGAAAGGAGAAGGCTGATTTAATTGAGTACAAGTAGAAGCAATTAAGTGATGGAAAGTACGATTCTGTTATTCTATTATCCCACTCACTTGTGATATTTAAATTAGAATAGATAAGGACCATTAAATCCCATATTTGAACTCTTAATCATAGGAAGCAGTAGTAAATATAAAGTAGATCCTTTCATGCATTGATTGACATTCCAGAATGTATAAATTAGGCTGAAAAATCTTACTAAACACAACAAATGAGCGAGCGGGACTGCTGGCTCTGCCCCACTGATCCTTAGGTCCACTTCTGCCGGTCTGCTTGGCTAGGTCGGAATGCTCTTTCTCCTTCACTGCTCTAAGGCCAAGGTTCTATCAGCAGCTACTGTTACCCTGCTAAAAGAGCCGAAGAAGTCTGTGAAGCACAGGGTGGGCTTTATTTTTTTCAGTTTGCTTCTTCTGTTTTTCATTTTGTTTTTTTAAATTAATTTATTTACTATTTGAAGGCAGACTTATGCAGAGAGAAGGAGAAACAGGGAAAGAGAAATCTCCCATCCTCCGGTTCATTCTCCAAAATAGCCACAAGGGCCAGAGCTGGCCTGACGCAGAGCTGGCCTGACGCAGAGCTGGCCTGATGCAGAGCTGGCCTGATGCACAGACAGCCTCAGTGCAGAGCCGACCCGTGGCAGAGCTGAGGGCCTAGAGTTTCTTCTGGGTTTCCCACACGGCTGCAAGGGTCCAAGGACTAGCAAGGGCCAACCTCTAATGCTTTCCCAGGCCTTAATCAGAGCTAGATTAGATCAGCCAACGGGACAATCAAGATAGCGGTATAAGGTAAGGACACGTTTAAACAGATGGAGAAATATTAGCCAGTGTGAAGGATAAAGGGCACATTCCAGAAAATAGGAGATGACAGAACAATAGCAGAGGGATACCTGGAGACTGACAGACACAGGAAAGCCGTGAAAACAACGGTGTGGTGTTGCAGTGACTAGTACTCCAGTGGCACTGAGGGAACGGTGATCTGAGCTCCACCAGCAGCCAGAACTCCACCAACAACAAGGTGGGAAGGGATGGTTACCTGGACCTCCATAGGTGATCCCAGACGAAGAACTGCTTGTCCTGCTAGTCTGTTTGATTTAACCAGGCACAGAGACAAAACAGCAGGTCCCAGTCAGGAAGTGAGGGAACAGGGTGGATTTCATAGTCCAGGCTGGCCCCTAGAGCTGTATTGGCTCCATTTTGTATAAGGAGACAAGGGCTATGGGGCAGGACTCCACACACACTGAGCTGGAGGTAAACTCATTCCTGGCTCAGTGAACTGCAACAACATGGCATCCTACAGGTTTCACTCAAGGTAGGTACAGGAAGCCCTCAGACCTGACAGCCAACATTCAAGATCTCTAGTAGTGGCACACCAGGCACCATTTTGTATAGTGTGGCAAAGAATTTAATACTGAAGTGACAACAGTGAGCTGCATATGTACTGAGCTCAGCGAGAACTCTACTCAGCTCAGTGCATTGCACTGGTCCCACAGTAAAATAATACTAACTGAGGCATCATATCTGTCAAAACAGGTCCATGTGGCCCTCAGACCTAATGGCCAACAGGTTCTGGCAAGATCAGCACCAACAACAACCTAGCAATATAGGACACCTGGTGTCTCCTTAATCCTGGGACCTGCAGCAACCGGAAATGGGAGAAAGCTTGTATAAACAATAGTGCAGCCTCAGCATGGGATCACAGAAGGTGGAGATGGGTGCACCAGTAGCTGAGGCTATGGAAACCATGGTGGAAATTTAACATAAGAACCCATATTTAGAACTCACTGGAGGGAATGGCACAAGTGACTGCAAACAAAGAGCCGTGCACCAACTGCAATAAGTAAAATCAAACTGTACTCCTGTGGGTGACACAACTTAGAAACCTGCGCCAAGGAGAAGAATCTGATAACCAGAAGCACAACGACCAAGAGCAAAAGAAGAGACAGAGGCACAACGAATATTACTGAAGACTCCCCTGCAAAGGAACAAACACCTTTGCCAACATCAGAGTTCACTGAGGAAGACATCGAGAAAATGGGGGATACAGAATTCCAAGTACTTGTTGTAAAACTTCTTATCAACAACGAGAAGCACATAAAGCAGACATTCAAGGAATTCAAGGAATATGTGACACTGAAAATGAATCAAATGAAAGCTGATATATCAGAAATGAAGACTACAGTGGAGAAAATTAAAAGTACAGTGGAGAGTCACCAAAATAGAACAAAACACGCATAAGAAAGAATCTCAGAATTGGAAGATATTTCCTGTCACCAGGGAGAAACACACAAAAAGCTGGAAGCAGAGCTGGATCAGGCTAAAAAAAAGTATCCAAGAATTGAAAGACACTATTAAAAGGCCAAATATAGGAGTTATGGGAGTCACAGAAGGTGCAGAAAGAGAAGCTGAGTTTACAAATGTATTAATGAAATAATAAGGGAAGATTTCCCTAATCTAGAGAAAAAAATAGGAAAACAAGATCCAGGAGAGGCAAAGAACTCCCAACTGGGGTGACCAAAAGTGATCTTCAACAAGAACACATGATAACCAAGCTCTCTTCAATCAAACATAAGGAAAGATCCTTAAATGTGCATGTGAAAAAAAAAATCAACTACATATAAAGGAATGGCTATTAAGCTCACAGGAGACCTCTCACAGGAAACTCTACAGGACAAAAGAGAATGGAGTGACACATATTCCAGATTCTAAAAGCAAAAAATTGCCAGCCCAGGATAATGTACCCAGCAAAACTTTCCTTTGTCTTTGAAAATGAAGTTATTCCACAGTCAAGAAAAGTTGAAAGAATATGCCTCTTCCAAACCTGCCCGACAAATGATACTTAAAGCTGTTCTCTTGACCGAGAAAAGGAACAGCACTCACCAAAACCAAAGGCAAATAGCAAGAGAAGACTATACGAATGCACGAACCACTGCTACAATGACAGGACCAAATTACCACCCATTCATATTAACCCTAAATGTAAATGGATTAAACTCATCAATCAAACGTCATAGATTAGTAGAATAGATTTTAAAACAAAACCCATCTACTTTTTGCCTACAGGAGACAAATCTCACCAACAAAGATGAGCAGAAACTATATCTCATGGATTTATTTTTACTGTCAGTTTCATCTATTCAAAATACTTCCTTCTGATTAAATTCTTCAGTGACTCATAGATCATACAGTAGCATCATTTTCTTCAAGAAGGTTCTTGATTTTCATTTCCCCAGCAACACTTTAGTCATTCAGTATCATGTTCTTTAACTTTATGGAGTTGTTAATCTTTTTTTTTTTCCTCCTGTTGATTATGACTTGTGGCTTTTCATTTAGTGGGATGTATAGTAACTGTGTAATGGAGACCATCATATCCAGATGTGAGGATACAATGCAGTATACATTTCTACTTCCAGACAAAGATGGACTCCCAATGAAACTGCTTACTATATCTTGACATTAGGATGCTGGACTCTGCCATTGTCCAGGCCCGCAATGATGGACATATGACTGTGTATGAAGAACTATACTATAGTAATGATATAGGTAAACTCAGTGAGCGGGGAGGGAATTGAGTAGGGGGAAAAAGAAATCCCACAATCTATGGAACTATATCATAAAATAATAATAATAATAACTAAAATTTTTAAAACAGTAGCTAACACTTGAAACAGCCTCCATACAGGATGCCAGCACTGCCAGACCCTTGAGGATGGTGTTTAAACATGCTTTTGCCTCCTGATCCTACTTTTATTTTAAAACATTTACTTTCCGAAACTAAGTCACTTACACTGTCCAGAGTCTCTTTAGCACTAGAGTGTAAGCATCAAGAGGGCAGGACTCTTCCTCCATTCTTCAATTTCTCAAAAGCAGCAAGCCCCACAAATCTATAGCAGACTCCCTTTTATTTGTACTGTTATTTAGATAGAAACATTATAGTACTCAGTGTTGACCTGTCCGCAAATACCACACCTACCTAGCATCCTGTGTTCCTTGCCGCCTACTCCTCCCACAATCCCTAACCCAATTATACTCTGTCTTTTTAATGCTCAGTGAATGATAGTCACCCACTTCCCTGGTGGAGTCAGGGGCTCAAGCCAAAACTTCAGACCTTACCTTCGATTTCTTTTCTTTGAGTTACTACAACGTATCTCAAGATTTTATGTCTAATTTTCCTGAACAATTGCAGGTTCTGTGTCCCCTCCCCAAGCTTGCACAGAGCAGCCCCATCTCCTGCTTCTGCTGTATTTTTTATATTATCACACCAAAATCTAATCATGTCTTCATCTTCCCCAAATACACACCTACTAAAAAGTCACTGTTGCAAATTTCTCTAGATAATCAAGGATCCAAATATTCAAGGTTCAGCTATTGTGCCTCTATATACTCAATTTGCTTTCCTTGCCAACCAATACTCCATGAGAACAGACTTTTGACATACTATTTATTCATAAGTCTCACATTTATCCAAATGGCAAATAAGAAAACAGAATAGGGACTTGGGATGAAGAAATGATTTCTGACCTTAAGGATCTGGGTCCCACTCTATTCAGAATCCAGGTAGCATAGTGGTCCAAAGCATACACCCCAAGTCAGAATACCAGGAGTCAAGATAGTTTTTCCACTGTTTGGATATCTTCAACTACAAAAAAAAAAAAAAGAGTAACTTAAGCAAGTACGAATATCCTGAATAGGCTGTTCATAAATAATAGGATGCTTTCAAAAGTTCATGGAAAAGGAATTTAAAAGACATATTTTGATGTAAACTTTTTTTCTTAACTTCACAAACAGGCATCTATGTAATGCGTGTGTAAATTAAAAAGATTATGCATCACAGTTATCTTCTTCCAGGATGCCACTTCTGTGAGCTTCAGTGGTCACTTGAGAAAAACAGTGCCAACTCGCGTAAACGGCCGCGCGAGCAGCTAGCTTTAATAACCTCCCAGGCACGACTGACGCCCGCGCTCAGCCGCAGCCAGCTCCCCCGGGGTTCAGCGTCCTCGGAAGCAAGCGCTCGCGTCCGTCTTAATCACCTCAGCCATCCGCCTGCGCTTTAACTCACTTCATCACCTGCACTGTCCGCGCCTCCCCCTTCTCTGTGAGGATTTCCGGACCGACTCCCCCACTGGCGGTGGCGTAGGTCTCGCGAGACATAGTGCTTCTCGCGGGTTTTCCTTCTTACCAGAGGCCTTAGCGCGAAGCGGAAAAACAGTCGGCGGCGGCAGCTTGGCCGATGCCGCGGCGCGGGTGTGGGCTCTCTCCTTCAGGGTCCGAGGCGCCGTCCTTCCGGGTCCGAGGCGCCCTCCTTCGGCGTGTGGGTCGCCGCTGCTCCGAGGGACATGGCGGCCCCCGAGCAGCCGCTGCCCCTGTCGAGAGGATGCCTGAGCTCCGCGCTGTCCCCGCCGCGAGGCGACCGGACTCTGCTGGTGAGGCACCTGCCTGCGGAACTGACCGCCGAGGAGAAGGAGGACCTGCTCAAGTACTTCGGGGCGCAGTCGGTGCGTGTGCTGTCGGACAAGGGGCGCCTGGTGAGTGTGCCTTCGTCCCCGGGCGTCCCTGGGCCCCCGGGAGAGCAGGCGCTGGTGAGCGGGCAGCGGGCACAGTGGAGATGGGTGCCAGGCGCAGCCTTAGCCTGCTGGATTCCGACCTCTTCCCAAAACCCTAGAAATGAAAATAGTTTTGGTGTAGTTCCCCCTTGGACCTCATTCTCCGATCGTACAACTCTTCTGAATGTGGCATGCTTACGGTGATTTTAGGAATGTGTAGCGAAGGATGTCTTTAGGATTCCAGCTTCGTTGAAAAACCATTGTTAAACATTGAGCACAGTAGAGGAGAATCTGTAGTCATTTCGGTAAAATACATAACAGTATTTCTACTCAGTTGTCGACCAGCCTTTTCACCAAGGGGGAAAAGGCATCCAGACGGGATCTTTCAGGAAAGCTATTTCAGCATCGTTAAACATTTCCTAGCCTTGAACTTATACAGGTAATTTCACACTTGAGACTGTCTTAAGCGATTTTCTTTTAATTAAAGTGGTAAGAGCAGTATTTAAGTTTCTGCACAGTGCCTTTAAATTCTCCCCAGGTGATGCTAATGTGTAGCCAGGAAGGAGAAGTGGTATGTCAGAAGAAAGACTAGTTTTTGCTCGGCGCATGTATTATAGATTTTAGCAAGTACAAGTAAAAGTATCTAGTTCAGCATAAGCACACTTAATCAGTTAGTGTCACCAGAAAAATGAGAATATGCGATGTGATTAAAGCAATGTTTGATTATTACAAGAAACAATTGCTTGGTTTTTGACTGCTGCATGGTTTTGAAATTACATACAATTTATATTTAAATATAAACTTCTAGCATTGGGACTTAATAAGGGTAAATCAGACATACACAAAATCTTGAGAATAATTTCCCTGTTGAACATTTTTAAACCTTGAGCCCCATATTGTATAGTTAAGAGTTTTTTTTTTTTAGATTTTTTTAAGAGTGATATATGAGTGTTCTGGAGACTTTAAAATTTCGTATGTCTCACAGTTTGTAAAAATAAAATATTCACAGAAGATGTTTACATGTTTATGTATATAAGCATATCTGTCATCTCAAATCCTACCCAAAACATTTAAAACCACAGGACTGAAATTAATTATCAGTTACATTTACCGTCATCATTGATGAGTTAGGTAAATCATATAATGCAATGTCTAATATCTTCATGAGGACCTGAAATAATATTGGAAGTAATTTATATTTTAACTCTGTTTCAGAAACACACAGCTTTTGCTACTTTCCCTAATGAAAAAGCAGCCATAAAGGTATGATTTTCTTTTTTTATTACTAAAGTTAGCAACAATTTTCTGTTACCCAATCTTGGTATAAAAATGGGGAGTGAAGTGGAGCTTTTAGTTATTTAGATCTTTCAATAGGATTTGTGTTCTGAGTTTGCCCTATAGGCAGTAGTTTATCATTTGACAGATCTTGCCCAAAATTTACTTAGTGGTGCCTATGAATAGCAAAGCAGACTAAAATTAGTTGCATATGTGATTAAAAATAGCCTGTTGTAAACACTTAAGAGAAGCTACCCTTGTAACTGTTGGAAAGCTAAAGAGTAAAGCATTAGAATGAATATACTACCTCAGGAGTTAGGGGTCATGTGGAGATTTCATAATTGTTAAAATTACGAATTTAGAATGAGAGCAAAGAGTGAATTTAGAGTTTCCTGGCCGCCGTTGGCTTCCTGGGTGTAAGCAGAGTTGGTGGAGTTGATTTTGCCAGGGTCACATTTTGCTCCCTTCAAAGCAGCAGTCCTTAAGAGAATAATAAAGGCTTGAACACTGATGATTACAAGTATGTAACAACAGATGAAAGTTTGATAGCATTCACTGAAAAAATTGTTTTTGTATGTGATCTTTACGTTTTAAGCACAGTTCTTCTTTTTTTTTCTTTTAACTGAAGGCACTGACAAGACTTCATCAGCTGAAGCTTTTAGGTCATACTTTAGTTGTGGAATTTGCAAAAGAACAAGATCGAGTTCACTCTCCATGTCCCACTTTAGGCACTGATAAAAAAAAAAGGTATGTGGGTGCTCAAGCTTCTCCAACATGTACACTGAATCAGTTGTGGATTTACAGGATTGTTTTTAGATAAGTAAGTAAATCATTCAAAGGAAAATCATGTATTTCTCCATTAAACCTACTAACGGCATAAAACTTATTTTTATTTCTGAATAAATATTAGGAACTGCACTGTGTCGGTAGCATTAGGAATAATTAGTTGTAAGTTGGTGACAAGTATGCAAATTTTGGTGGAGGTAAGTAACCACAAATTATGATCTGTTACTTGAAATGTGTGGAACTAAGAGTGTTAAAATTTTTTTATGTGGTTTTTTTCCAGATTGGGATGGGATATTTGTGAAACCCAATGGAACTATTTTGGGAATGGGACCCAAGTCTGTAAACAAAATTGAATTTTTGTTTTAATATGCTTCATGCATGTAAGCCGGAGGTTTTTCTGTAATATTTCCCATGCATTTTTCCCCCTAAGATTTACTTATTTATATTGAAAGGCAAATTTACAGAGAGGAGAGAAAAAGTTCTTTTCTTCACTGCTTGACTCCTCACGTGTCTACAAAGGCTGGAGCAAAGCCCATTTGAAGTCAGGAACCAGGAGCCTCCTCTGGGTCTCCCACGCAGGTGCAGGGTCCCAAGGCTTTGGGCCGTCCTTGACTGCTTTTCCAGGCCACAAGCAGCCAGGATTAGAACTAGCACCTGTATGGGATCCTGGGGAGTACAAGGCAAGGAGCTTAACCACCAGGTCCCCATTACTTGCATTTTTAAAATTGTATTGGAAGACAGACAGAATTATGTGTGCCACGTAAGTAAAGCAGAAATGGAGCTAGGTCTTTGGTGTGCTGGTTTATTCTCCTACTTCCTGCACTACCTGTGCCTGGATCAGACCAAAGCCAGGAGCTTGGAATTGAGTCTTGCTCTCCCTCACTAGTGGCAGAGTCCTTAAGAACTTGATTGTGCGTTAACTGGGAGTTGCATGTAAAGCAGAGCCAGAATATGAACCCAGTCACTCCAGTATGGCTAGTAGCATTATCTTAACCTCGTGCATAAACATTGTCTTGACTGTGTGCCCACTCCATGCATTTCCATTGTGACTGCAGCCTGTGATGAGGTCAGGTGTGGAATTTTCTTATTATGACATCGTTGCTGTCCTCAAAAAGTATCTCAGAGCATTTCTGATTTCCAGGTTAGAGATTTTTCAACCAATAGCATAAAATCCTTACCTTAGCACAGGTGAAGGATCATGACTTTTGAAATGAAACACTGTATTTTATTTCCAAGTATGACCTTTTATGGTAATACAGGCTTGCTAAATTTGTTTTACACCTGTAGTTCTGAAAATGTCCCTATGGGGCCAGCATTGAGGTACAGTAGGTTTGGCCACGCCCTGTCTGTGATACTGGTAGTCCATACAGGTGCTGGTTGGTGGTCGCTGGGCTTTGAATCCAGCTCTCTGTTAATGGCTTAGGAAAGCTGCTGAAATGGCCCACATATTTAGACCCCTACATCAACATGGGAGACCAGGAGGAAGCTCCTGGCTACTGCTTCAGACTGGCCCAACTCTGGCCATTGCTGCTGTTTAGGGAGTAAACCAGTGGATGGAAGATCAGTCTCCATCTCTCCCCACCTCTGTCTCCCTCCTCTTCTCTGGAACTGTCTTTTAAAGAAAGAAATATTTAAGTAAATGTTTTGGAGAACTTGATTGCAATACAAAATCTTAGCTTTACTACAGACTTACTGAATTAGCAGCTTAAGCAGGTAAACTGAAGAAGGCCAAGGTGCCAGACATCTCTTGAGTTTCAACGAGCCCTGTAAGTGCATATCAAAGAAACAGAGTGCTGCTACTTTTTTTTTTTTTAAGAATTATTTATTTTTATTGGAAAGGCAGATATACAGAGAAGAAGATCTTCCGTCTGATGGTTCACTCCCCAAATGGCCTCAATGGCTGGAACTGAGCCAATCCGAAACCAGGAGCATCTTCCGGGTCTCCCATGGGGGTACAGAGTCCCAAGGCTTTGGGGCGTCCTTGACTGCTTTCCCAGACCACAGGCAGGGGCTGAATGGTAAGCAGGGCTGCCAGGATTAGAATAGGTACTCATATGGGATACCGGTGAGTGCTCAAGGCGAGGACTTAAGCTGCTACGCTGTCACGCTGGGCCCAGCATGTTACTTCTTATATCATGTAAATTTCTGTTTTATTTTTGTTTATGAATTATACCATTTTTAAGAACTTACTCTGAAGTTTAAATGAAAACGTAGAGTAGCTAATAAAGAACGGATTCTGTGAAAGTTATACTCTACCCCCTTTCGTTAGTGTTTAAGAAATGTTTGAAAGAACTGTTTTCATGGACCTGTTTTCATAATTTCATGTTTGTAAAGATAATTTGTTTTTTCATATGCAATTTTTCCTTTTTTTCTAAAAATAAGACTGCCTGTGATTACGTTGTAGATCTGAAGACACTGTGGAAGAAGAGAAAGAAAAGAAAGAAGTTGATTGCTTAACGATAGAGAATGGAATTGCACCAAACCATGGGTTAGAATTTCTTGTTTTAATCTTTTGGTTTTGTGGTTCTGATAATTTATTTTATAAAGGACATTTTAATACATATTATGTATTTGATTTTTTTTTTTCGTTTTATTTTGAAATACAAAGAGAGGGAGACAGATGTATAAATTCATCTGCTGATTCACTCCCCAAATGCGTTCACCAGCTAGGGTGGGGCCGGATGAGGCCAGGGCCAAGCACTCAGTCAGTGCCTCTGTGTGCGGCAGGGACCTAAGTGCTGGAGTCATTAGGTAGGGCTAGTCAGGCTGTGCTTTAGCAAGAAGCTAGAATTGGGAGCAGTGCCAGGACTCAAATCTAGACACTCAGATATGGCATGTCGGCATCCCAAGCCATCTCTTAACTACCAGATGCGTGCTCTTCATATGTGTTTTTAATTTTTTGAATAAAGTTTTTGAGCCGAGTCTGGCATTGAACAGAGGAAGCATCTGTTAACATGTTTGGAAGTGTAAGTAAGAAAAATGCTTTATTTTTCTGTAATGAAATCAATGGCAAGATTCTTTCTAAGTGTACCTGTTTGGATCTTTTAGAAACATGGTGAATCTAAGCATGCTGTATCATTTGAGTAATTTTGTATGTTATCAGGTTACTTAAAATGAATATTTATATGTTGTTATTAAATTTGCCCAACATTTAATTTTTTTAAGGCTGACATTTCCTCTGAATTCATGCCTCAAGTATATGTACCCACCACCTTCAAGCACAATCCTAGCAAACATAGTAAATGCTTTGGCAAGCGTGCCTAAATTCTATGTACAGGTAAATGAAACTTCTTTTCCTAAAAGTATGTGTTTGTGTATACGAGGTGCCTTATTGTTTGTCTTGATTGCCATCTGTAATAGTTTAAGTAATTTAATGATAAAACTATTTTAAAAGTGAAAAGATGAGTGTACTACTTTGAAGTAATGATTTTTTAGAAACTGTAGTATGAATCAATATTAGTAAATGAGCCTGTTTAGAAATGTGATTTCTGATAGTCCTGTGTTGCTTTAGCGTACATGGAGAGATCTTTAAATCAAAAGGTACAGTGAACTCTAGCACATGGCTCAAGGATTTTAAAGATAATAGCATACTACTTTGAAGTGTACAGTATGAATGATCATTTTCTTCCTTGTATTTTTTAGTGTTTCACATTCACAATAAGCAGAAAAAAAGAGATTAAAGTGTTTCTGTGGGTGTTGCTTTGTAAGAATACTTCATTCTTATTAGTGGTACTTGTTTTATCTACACAATGAACAAACATTTGGGGATATCAGGGCTAGTCTTCTGACATCCAGTGTCTTATTTTACCTTGTTCTTGTACTAGAACGACACGATGCTGCTGCATTTGAACTAAGATATTTGGTAATACTATTTCACAAGTTTTTATGTAAAATATAAGGTATGAGCTCAATCATTAATACTATGTGATTTTTAAATGCTTTACCACTTAAAGGTGCTTCATCTTATGAATAAAATGAATTTGCCCACGCCTTTTGGACCAGTTACTGCACGACCTCCTATGGTAAGAAAGTTCTTAGGACTTGTTTAATAGACAAAATTTCTTGCATGAGCGAGATTATTTAGCTTTGAAAGTGTAGAAATGTTGTGCTAACTTGTGATGCAGACTGAATAGGAACAAAGAGGAAGTCATGTGGTAATAGCGGAACTGAGGACGGAGTGTCAGGAAGGGTAGAATATGAAAAGAATACTTTGATGGTTAATAAGATCATCATTCTTTCAGTGTTTAGTTCTTTGACCCAAAACACTTGTCTGAGTTACCTAAAAGTTTTTTTCAACGTAGTTTTATTATAGATATTCACTTACAAATGACAAAAAGATGACTAATATTTTTATTAGAAGTTTTGTGCAAAGCTACCAAGTGATTTATATAGTTGACTATGTCCTTGAAATTACTTAGTGGTAATAATCTGGATAATTATTAAAACAAAATAATTTTGAGTGTTAACATAAAAATAGGAAAAATTTGCTTCAGAACTGGTTAATTTTCTCTTGTTCAAGCTTCCAACTTGTTCAATACTTGGGACAGGGCTATTAAGATTATGCTAGCTGCTCTGAAAAAAAACAAACAGAACAAAATATTGTCTTGTAATACAATAGAAGTTATTTGTTGGTTAGATCAGTTCTAAAATAAGGCAAAGGAATGTGCTCCTCTACTGTACTACTCATAAAACCTCAGTATTGGAGGTCCTCCCATCCCGCGGAAGAAATCACTCGACACTTGAGAGAGTCTCCAAGGCGCTTTATTCCGATCTTCCGATCTTCCGTTGTGAACCGTTATGACCGTTAATTCTGTTACGCTCCCCCCTCCCCCGCCAAGCCCCCCGCTTATCTGTCAAACTTGTCCAATAAGCTTAAAGATAACCAAGGCACACCAATCAGGGCAAAGGGCCAATCACAGGGCAGGAAATGGTCAGTATCCTCAACACCTCAGTTTTCTTCCCCATGCTTTTCCACATTGGTGAGGCTTCTATAATTGCAGAAATTAGGAGTATATTTAGGACTTTGGCTACAATTCAGTGGTATGATGAAATATAGCTACGGAAAACGCTTACAAGTTCAGGTCAGCTTGATGCTAAGGAAGAAGAAACAAGATTTTTGATCAGCTAATGATTTGCTAATTGCTCCCTGATTTTTTACTGAATTATCACATGAAATAATGAAAAAAAGAGTCATGTATTTATGGAAGTTTTATGTTCTATAAATGTCATAGATTACCATGGTGTTTTCATTTTGTATTTTTAATTAGTATGAAGACTATATGCCATTGCATGCACCTCTTCCACCCATGTCTCCTCACCCACCTGAGGAACCTCCTTTGCCAGATGACAATGAGGAATTATCTAGTGAAGAATCAGAATATGAAAGCAGTGATGATGAGGATCGACAGAGGTTTGTGAAGTGAAATATTTGTTCAGGTTCTAAGGAACAGATGGGATTTTTCTTGGTAGGAGATGCTCAATTCTTTTTGTAAAGTTATTAGAATCTGTCCTCAGCCGCTCTGCTAACCCCTCAAACATATACAGTAACTAGAAAGTAAATGCCAAGACCGAATGGCAATGTTTAGATTATGATTTAATTTTTTAGATTGATGGTTGTTATAAAGTATGGTTAAAGTAAACCTCATTATTTCTGAATTTATTTGTAACTTTCACATCAGTAATTGACCGTATTACTCAACCATCTTTTTGTGGGAATAAGCATTAACATTATGGTGAAAAAGTTGCTTCTTCGGTAAGGATGCTTCAACTCTCATATCCTATACTAATATCCTTGCCATGTTTTTCACAGTTTTGGGGTTTTTTGTTGTTGTTGATGACTTTGCTGTTTAAAAAGCACCCAAACAGAGTCTGAAGTCCTGTGTATTATTTCCAAGATCAAGGTTTGCTTACAGAGAAAATAAGCTTAGCTAATACTCCTTTTGGGCCAGTTGTAATGATGTTGACTGAAATATGATTTCAGTGTTTCGAACAGGCAGTATAATGCGGTGTTCTTTAATATGAACACTCAAAAAACAAGGTCATGTGTTTTGTTCAGTTGACAGGTAGTTAGGGTCTTGAAGAAATCTTTCTCTGAGAAGCCAGAATTGTGGGTGAGGCCATCTTCTGTGACAATCACAATCAGTATGGATGACAGTTAAGCTCCTGGCTGTGTGTTACCTGTTTGATTTGCTTTCAGATTTCACAAATGTTACCCTGCAAAATAAGTTATCACTGTTCATCTTTGAGCTCCTGATCTATAGAAACATAAAAATAGCTAAGCAAGAACTACATCAAAATTTCCCTATACATGTGACGCTGTGGTGCAGCTGGTCCAGCAACCACTTACAGTACTGACATCCTGTGTGATTTCTGGTTTGAATCCTGGGTGCTCCACTTCTTGCTTCATCTCCATGCTATTGTACCTGGAAAAGCAGTGTCAGATGTTCTGGTACTTGGGCCCCTGCCACCCAGATGATAGGCCCAGATAGTTGGACTACTAGCTTCTGTTTGGTCCAGCTTTGGCCATTTGTCCATTTGCGGGCTGGAGCAGCAGATGGAAGGTTTTCTCTGTGTGTTTCTATCTCTGTCTGTCTGTGGCTCCCTCCGTCTCTTTCTGTAGTACAGTCTTTCAAATAAACAAACAGATCTTTAAAAAAAAACTGCCAAACAAAAATGTCTTGAAATTTTCAGTGTTCATATTCTTACCAGCAAAAAAGTTTATTAACTATCAGTTAGCTACTTTCTGTTCTTGTTTTTTGTTTTTTTGTGTTTTGTTTTAGCCATGTTAGAGTGTAGTATTTGAAAACTTTGTTCTTAATATGGATCAGTTTAGAGCGATTATGTTCAAAATACTTTTGAATGAAACATATTAGTCCATTCTCGCTTTGGTAACTAGAATATGAATCAACAATTTTACTGTGTTATGAGATATTTGGAATGCTCTTAATAGATTTTTGAAATTATAAACTGTAAGTGCTTGGCATGAGATGCAGCAATTTTATGTAATTAATGAAGCTTATAGTGAAATAACAATTACTTAAAATTAAGTAAGTGCCTTCCAAGTAAGGTGAAAGCTGGGCAAGGCAATTTTGAGTCAAGTTATTGTAAAATTCTTTTCTTGATAATTTGGAAGTTATACTAATTTCATATAAGTATGTTCCATATAAATTATCTTATAGACCACAATCAAATTGAAACTTAGCAAAAATAATTATAAGTAAAGATGCTTCTAGATAAGGGACAGCTGTTTACTTCTCTTCTCTCCTACACAGAATGAGCAAACTAATGGAACTAGCCAACCTTCAGCCCAAAAGACCAAGAACCGTAAAGCAGCGCCACGTGAGAAAAAAACAAAAAATAAAGGATATGCTGAGTGCACCTACATCTGCTTCACACAGGTAATTTTGTTCAGAATTATTATAAGAGTATCTATTTTTTGTTGAATTTAATTCACATCATTTTTCAGTCTGGATTTTTGTTTCATATTAGTCTTATTAGATTCACCATTGGATTCTTATTTCCCAGGTCTGTAGGTATTCATAATTCTCTTAACATTTTTCCAATTTGTGGTATTGATGACTGCAAATCTTAAAATACGTTTCTTGTTGAACTTACTATCCCTTCTTTTTACCCACCATCTTCCTACCTCTTTATTTCCTTTTTTTTGTCCCTCTATTTCTCCCTCCATCCCTTCACTTTCTCACTTTTTTTAAATCTCATAGGCTTCATTTATTTTTCAATTTGTTTTATTTTCCCTGATACAGTTTTGTAGGTGTAGGGGTTTCCCCCTCTACTTCCCCTTCTTCCCTCCCTGTTCTCTGCCTCCCCTTCCCTGCTGTTTTCTCCCATTTTATTACAGTAGTATAGTGCTTTAGCAACAGTCACAAGTCCAACATTCTGCTGTTAATTTGTATCATGACATTGTACATTTAGGCAATAGATTTCATATACTTAACTGTGGTCATCTTCTGTTTGTAAGCGTATATTCACTATTAACCTCATTCATTTTTATAGTTTTACTTGTTTTTATTGTAACATAACTATTCCTAGTTTTATCTCGAAACATAAATTTCTCATCTCCAAATTTCTATCTACATATATAGATGTTTCTTAGGCACTTAAAGTATTACTGAAGGACAGAATGATTTGCTTTCCATTCAGTGTGGTTTTCTGCATTTAAAGCTTTGATAATAGCATCAACAGTTATTCATTTATATGAAATAATGTAGTTCCTCGTAATTTTATTGCCTGAAATCAAACATTTTTCACTTAAAAATACCAGATAAAAAATCACACATTTTAATGTGGATATATTCATGTCTCACCAGAATGCTTTTAAATATGTATTGTTTCTGGAGATTCTCTGCTGTATATGGTGTGTGTAATGAACCATACTTCCAAAGATTCATGCTGCCTTTTCTAGCACCTCATCACTCTGCTTTTTTGTTATTAAGAGTTGAATTATTAAGTGCTATGCCTACAGTGCAGTGAATGTTTTACCACTGTTGAGTAGGATGTAATTTGAAATAACATTTTAATGAAAATTTTATTTGCAGTTGCAAGCTAAAGTTTTAATTGTCTTTAAATAGCAATTTACATCCAGTGCTGTTACCCTCAGATGTATTTGACCAACCACAACCTGTAGGTAGCAGGAAAATTGAATTCCATATATCTACTGATATACCAGCAGCATTTAAGAAAGATTCTGAGAAGGAAGAAAATTATGAAGAAAAGAGTTGTGGTAAGAGCATTTTAATTATTTTATTTGCTGAAATTAGTTTTTTTTTGCGTATGTTAAAAGTGAAGTTTTGTGTGTATGTTTCTGTGTTTTACTATTTGTCAACTTCAATACTTGTAGCTCCTCTTGAGAACATGGAAGGATATCTGGTTCTAGCATTTTTATGTAACTAAAACTGATGCTAAATAACAGTATTTTACTGCTTGCCTAATGCTGGTAATGACCTTTAAGGTGAAATCTGGGTTTGTTTTGCTGATGTTTACACTTTGTAACACCAGGTTTCAGTCTCACCCAGCCTTTTGGAGAGGTGAGTGTTTAGCTCTTCTGCTCCCCACCCTCCCTTTTTCTTTGTAACTTTCACAAATAAATAAACCATTTTTAAAAGATCATGAATGCATCCAGGTCAGTATTATAATGACTTGTTAAACGTATTATGGTAGCAGGATCTGAGCAACTTAGACCTGATCTTTCTGTATTTTTAAATAGTTCATATAATACTATCAATTGGTCATGTCCTACTGCTAGATTTTTTTTTTCCCCTTCTTTGTAAACTATTACCCAAAAATAATTAGAATATGTATCTTTATTCATGTGTTTATATCTTAAAATTTTAACTATATTGCACCTTTACATCTTTAAAATTTATTTAGAAAAAAATAAAATGTAATTAGATCTTTTTTATTGACACAGGGTAATTATACATATATATAGATTGCAGAGTAACATGTCAATATGTGGAAATGAGATTAGAGTAATTGGCATAGCAGTCAATATTTATTGTTTCTTAACATTGAGAATGTTGAGAATCATCTCTGTAAGCTGTTGCAACCATGATAATCCTAATGTGTTGTGAAACATTAGAAGATAACTCTTCCTTTCTAATTGTACCTCTGTTCTCATTAATCATTCTCTTTCCATCCTCTTTAACATGACACAGTTTGTCTTCCAGCTATAAGAACACATGATAATTGTCTTTTTGTGCTGGAATTATTTTACTTAACATAGCATCTTGCAGTTTGTATTAATTTCTGTGATTGAGAAACACTCACTGTATGTGTACCACTTTGAGAAATGTCTACTTCTGCGTTTGTCAGCTTGATCTCTAGTTGTTTACTCTTGAGTTGTTTGGGGTTACTTGTATACTTTGGGTGTTAATCCAGTACTTCATAAATAATTTGAAAATACTTTCTCTCATTACAGAAGCTTTTCCCTTCATTCTGTTGATTGTATGCAAAAATTTTTTTTGATTTGATGAAATCCCATTTTTCAGTTGTCTTTGCCTATTCCTTTAAAGTCAAAAAATGTCTTAAAGCAGTATGCTCAAGCATTTTTGCTGATTGGAACTTTGGGGGCTTAAATCTAAGTCTTTGGTCCATTCTGAGTTTTATACATGGTAAGGAAATTTGGTTTCTTAAGCATTTAGAGATCCCATTATCTTAACAGTATTTATCAAAGAGGCTTGCCTTTTTTTTTCAGTTGGCTATAAATATATGAGTTTATTTCCGATCCACATATTGTGTTCATTGATCCATTTATTTTTAAGATTTATTTATTTATTTATTTATTTTTATTACAAAGTCAGATGTACAGAGAGGAGGAAAGACACAGGAAGATCTTGCGTCCCATGATTCACTTCCCGAGTGAGCGCAATGGCCAGTGCTGCGCAGATCCGAAGCCAGGAGTCAGGAACCTCTTCTGGGTCTCCCACACAGGTGCATGGTCCCAAAGCTTTGGGCCATCCTCGACTGCTTTCTCAGGACACAAGCAGAGAGCTGGATGGGAAGTGGAGCTGCCAGGATTAGAACTGGCGCCCATATGGGATCCCAGGCGTTAAAGACGAGGACTTTAGCTGCTAGGCCATGCTGCCAGGCCCTAGATCTGAGTTTTTGATGCATGCAATTGTTGATATAGACTTTAATACATAGGGGTTTTTTTTCTCCCCCAAGTGTGAATTTATTCCTTTGGAAGTCAGAATTGTAGATCTAGAGGATGAAACAGAGAGAGAGAGAGAGAGAGAGACAGAAATCAAGTCTCCAGCCCACCTTCTAAAATGGCTAAAACAGCAGGAATTTTAAAGTGAACAACCAGGAGCTTCTTCCAGGTTTCCCATGTCAGTAGCAGAGGCCCAATCAGTTGGGCTATTTTTGCTTTTCTCTCTTTCTTTTTTTTTTTTTTTTTTTTTTTTGTGAGATTTATTTAATTTTTTTGGAAAGCTTGGCAGATTTACAGAGAGCAGTCAGAGTTCTTCCATCCACTGGTTCACTTCTAAGTGGCTAGAATAGCTGGAGCTAAGCCTATTTGAAGCCAGGATCCAGGAGCTTCTTCCCAGTCTCCCACATAGGTGCAGGATCCCAAGGCCTTGGGCCATTCTCTACTGCTTTTCCAGACTACAAGCAGGGAGCTAGGTGTGAAGTAAAGCAGCTGGAATGTGAACTAGCACCCAAATGGGATTCCGATGCTTGCAATGTAGGGATTTAACCACTGAGCCATCACCATAAGCCCTTCTGTAGCTTTTCTCAGGTCACTAGCTGGGACCTGGATTGGAAGGGGAGCAGCTAGGACATCAACCAGCATCCACATGAGATGTCATTGTTGATGGTAGCTATGCCACATCACCAGCTCCTGTATATGTTTTAGTATGATGTATATGCATTTGTTTTAAGACATTTAAAATTTATTTTTGGTATTTTTATTGATCTGTTGCTTTTAAGAGTACATTTTGTAATATCCAAGTACTTTTAGAATTTCTTGAGCCTCTGCATTTTTAATTTTAGTCTAATATCAGAGATTCATGTTATGGTTTGTCCTTTTGTTTTGCTTTTTCTTAGTTCCTTTTTTTTTATTATTTTTGTAGTACAGTGTATAATATGAAGAGTATTCTTTGTTCTGTTTTCCCCTTTTGTTCACCTTTGTGTTTCGTGATATTCTGTATTAGTAAGATTTGGTTCCTTTCTCCGTTGTGTTTCTGCCCTGCTGCTGAGTTTTAGTTCATAACATCTATTCACTGGACTCATTAGTGCAGGTCTCCGTTACAGGGTGGCTCAGGTGCTGACCTATTCCCACAGTTTATGCTCGTTGTCGATTTATTTTTCCTTCGTTTCTGAAGGATAGCTTGCTAGGAATAATATTCTTCATTAGGACTTTAAATATATAATTGCATTTCCTCCTGACCTGTAAGATTTATTCGGAGAAGTCTGCTTTTAGTAATAGAGGTTCACTGGGTGCTTTTCTTGCCCTTTTTACAATTTGGTATGCCTCAAAGAGGATCTGTTTTGGCCTAAACTTTTAGAAATCCTTTGAGCTTCTTGAACGTGGATTCTCATGTCTTCCCAAAGACTTAGAAAGTTTTCTACACTTATTTCATTAAAACTGGTTTCCTATGCCTTTTCTTTCTAGTTTTTTTTTTTGTTGTTGTTGTTTTCTGAAGCAACTATAATATGAAAGCTGGCTTTGTTAATGACATTCTTTAATGATGTTAAGCATTTTTATCCTGTTTTTATCTGACTTAACTACAAACACCTGTTTTAACTCAGAATTTAAATATTGTTAATTGATTAGCTATTGAGTCTCCGAATTATAATTTTAATTTTATTATTTACCTGAAAAACGTGTTTGATTCTTTCTTTTTTCTTTTTTCTTTTTTTTTTTTTTTCATTTCATTTTGTCAGTTTCATAGGCTCTGGGATTCCCTCAACTCTTCCAAAAAACCCTCCTCCCGTATTGAATTCCTCCATATTGTTGCAGTAGTGCAGTTCATATCCAGTCATGATTCCTTCATTGCTGGCATGGACCGTGCAGAGAGTCCAGCATCTTAATATCCAGATAAATTCAACAGTTTCATTGGGAGACCATCCCTGGTCTGAAAGTAGGGCTGGCAGAATTTCTCCCCTCCAATGAATTGCCACAACATAACGTAGCATCAACAACAATTTACAACATCATGAAGTTAATTGACATGGTATTGAGTGACCAGTAAGTTAGAAAATGCAAGTTCTTAACCACTACTTCATTGACATTTCAGTTTTAGTTTATACACAATTGGCTGCTATACACCTTAAAATGGTTATAGGTACTATTCAGCTGTGTCGTGTCTGTTTTCATTTTTATGTCTACCACCGTCGGCCATCTTAATGCTCCCCCCAATTCTGTTTTCATGTAGTGATTTATTAACTATTTATTTATTTATTTATAATTCGGAAGGCAGAGTTACACAGAAATGGAGAGACAGAACAACCCTCCATATGTTGACCCATTCCCTAAATGGCCACAAAGACCAGTTCTTGGTTAGACTGAAACCAGGAGCTAGGAGCCTCCTCTGCATCTCCCCTGTGTGTACAGTAACCCAATTCATTTGCCAGCCTCCACTGCCTACCCATCCACCACCACCCCAGATGCATACACAGGGAGCTGAAGCAGAGCAGCAAAGACATTTGCCAGTGCCCACCTGTGGGATACTGGCATAGTACATGGCACCCCAGCTCTGTATACCACACTTACCCCCTGGTTCTTGTATGATTCTCTCTGCTAAGTTCCTCATGTATTTCATCAATTACATAATTTCACTGAATCATTTTTGTTATTGTGTGTAACTCAGGGAATTTCCCTAAAATCACTATCTTGAATTCTTTTTTCAGGTAACTCATTGATTTTCATTTGGTTGAGGTCTACTACTACTACTAGAGAGAACATGTTATCACCCCCCCCTTTTTTATGCTTCTTATGTCAGTGTTTCTGCATCTTGCAGATTAATTTCAAATGCTAGGTTTTTTAGGCTGACTCTCATTAATGAAATGTTTCCTCTGGTAATGGATGCATCTTAGAGATTGGTTGGATGTATCACTCTATTGCCTAAATAAAATAGTAACTATTGCTTCTTGAATTATATATTCTTCTCACTAAATATTTTGTGCAAATGTCTGATACCTCAGAATACACAGAAACTGAACACTGCATCCTCTACCCTCACTTTGCAGGCTTTCTGACTAGCACTATAAATCAGCCACTTCACCATTTAGCTTCAGTCTGTCCCTGTTCTTGTAGTAAAGTGCCTGGGTTTAATAGTAGTGGTAGAAACCACAAAATACTTACTGTTTTCACTTTACTTTACTTTACTTTACTTTACTTACTGTTGTGTGACATTGGGAAACTCTAATTTTAGAACTAACAGCTTACTAAATAAAAACTGTGGGAAAGGCAACCTGAAAATAGTTTTGAAAGGAGGAAATTGTAATGACTTATGCTAATGTTGGCTTCTTAGATGTACCTGCTGCTGAAGTTGATGCAGCTAATATAGGATTTGGAAAAATCTTCCCAAAGCCTAATTTGAACATCACGGAGGAAACTAAAGACGACTCTGATGAAATGCCATCAGAATGTATTTCTAGAAAGGAGTTGGAAAAAGGCAGAATTTCCAGAGAAGGTAATGTCATTACATAAACTACATATTCTGTTTTACATTCCTTTGACTCTGTAGAATCAAATCTATTTATAATCATATACTTTAGTGAAAAACTTCAAAACAGTTTTCTTATTAATGCTTACCTGATTTTACTCAGATGCCATAGAGGAGAAATTTCCCTCTTGTATAATATTTCCATTCTGTTTTTGAATTTTTTTATTATTATTCCTTAGCCGTTTGAATGGCATTGAACACAGTTCATATATCCTATAAGTCAACAAACAGTTAATGAACCATCAGAATACTATGTCTGGAATACATATATAAAGTGACTATAAGGAAAATTGGTCATCAGAAATCCATATTTAAGCTTTTTTTACCCTGATGTAATTTTTTACTGCTGAAGAATTTTAATTCTTTCAGTATATCTTGAGAAAATGTTTTGGATTTCTGGTTGATAAGTAACAATTTCTCCATAGAACTAGCAAATAAGACTTGCAACTAGAATTTTTTCACATAATTTCTAGTGGGTAACGATAGTTTACTGACAGCAGACAAATAGCTGGAAATGAATCCAGATTCCAGTGGATTTGAAGCACCTGATTATTGGATTGGAGGACCATGTTTTTACATTTGTCTATGAAATGGCTTGTGGTTTGTCAAATTCACTTAAATAATATTCAAATGTTAACACTTTTTTTTTAAACAAAGGGATCTATCTTTATTTTTTAAAGATTTATTTATTTGTATTTGAAGGGCAGTTCTACAGAAGGGGATCTTCCATGTGCTGGCTCACTCCCCAGATGGCTATAATGGCCCGAGCTGAGCTCTTCCACAGCTAGGAGCCAGAAGCTTCTGTTTGGTCTCCCACTTGAGAAAAGGAGACTGAGCAATCAGGACATCTTCCCCTGTTTTCCAAGGCCCTAACCACAGAGCCTGATCAGAAGTGGAGTAGCTGAGACAGCAGATAGAGGATTAACATGCCTTGCCACCATGCTAACCCCACAAAATAACTTATCAAAGGTCTTAAAAGTAGGTATTTAATTGAGCAGGTTTTCTCAAGCTTTAAATATTTAAGACGTATTTGATACCTCTTAATTTCTATAATTTTAACATTTGCATAGTTTTTGAAACTTGTTTTAAAAACCCCTAATTTTATTATCCTTGTTTTGTTTAAGAAATGGAAGCACTTTCAGTTTTCAGAAGTTATGAACCTGGTGAACCAAACTGTAGAATTTATGTAAAGAATTTAGCTAAACATGTTCAAGAAAAGGTAAGTTTAAGTTTATACACTGATTTTTATTTTTTAATATCTTTATTGCCTGGCTTTCTTATTTGTCTATTCTTCTTGAAATTCTAGGACCTTAAATTTATTTTTGGAAGATATGTTGACTTTTCATCAGAAGCACAACGAATCATGTAAGTACAATCCTAACTCAAATTATGTTTTTATCTGTTACAAATTAACTTTTTTCTTATTTCATTTTCTCCTTGGAGGTAAATTTGTGTGAAATATTAGTCTATTACATAAGCCATCTAGAAGAGTTGTCAAATTTCTACTGTAAATGAGTGGATGGTAAAAGTTATTATTGTAGGCTGTACCGTGCCATAACTACCTGTTGTCATTGTTAAAGTGAAAACAACCATAAACAATGCATAAATAAATAATCGTTATGGAAGCTGGCCACATGATAAATTCTAACTTTAGTCCTTAAAACGAGTTCTCAAATTTGAATATCATACAAGAATAACCTGGAGAAGAAGAACTTGGCAAAACACTTTCATAATTTCATACCCAAAGTATCTGATTTTGCTTTGCATTTCTTTTCCTTTATTTTATTATTATTATTATTATTTTGCTTATTATGTTGTTAGCAAGGCAAATCAGAAAAGGAGAGACAGAAAAATATCTTCCATCTGCTGATTCACTCCCCAAGTAGCCGCAGTATCCAGAGCCAGTCCCAAGCCAAGAGCCAGGTGCCACGTGCTTCTTCCAGGTCTCCCACATGGATACAGGGTCCCAAGACTTTAGCTCATTCTCTACTGCTTTTTCAGGCCTTACACAGAGAGCTGGGTGGGAAGTGGAGCAGCTGGGACATGAACCAGTGACCTTGTAGGATCCCAGCGCTTTAGCCATTCATGGAGCCATCACACCAGACCCTTTGCTTTGCATGTTTTACAAAGCTTTTGGTTGATGATAATTTTGCTAGCCTAATAACTATCCATTGAAAACCATTGTTTGAATGATCCAGGATATAATTTATCAGGCAAACTAGTTCAGACACTGGAGAATAACCTTTCATCTTTTGATTCGACTGCATTAAATGTTAAAGCTTTCTTTGGGAACACAAAGGATAAGAGTGAGGTTTAAATAGGAGAAAAGTTATGGAGTTAGAGTTTCATTTTTAAAATTTTTGTGTGTTAGTTCAGACATAAAAGTCTCAGTCATAAAAACTTAAAAGAGATGGAATGGAAAAGATAAAAGGAGGTTTTTAATGGAACTTACAGTGGATAAGTAATAGGTACATGTAGCACTGTCAAAGTTCTCCATTTATATTCATAGTGACAGATAATCTCTTCTTAGGATATCAACATTTCTTTGCCAATTCTGCAAAATGCTGGCTTGTGTTTTTTTCTTTATGCATATTACAAATACCAGATAATTTTTAAAAAATTTTCCAAGTAGGTTTTGAATGTAATTGGAAAATGTTAAACAATGGCTACCTTGTGAAGTAATGGAACACCGTGTCGATTCTAGTGTAAAAAAAAAAATCTGGTTTCTGTTTCTGTCACTGATTTTAGCTGTCTGCTCTGAGGTCAGTATCTGTAAATATCATTTAAAATTGATGCTTTGTGACATATGATCAGTAAGATCTCTTCCTACATGTATATTCTGTAACTGCTTACAATACATTCTGTGATCACTTGTAATTGGTTCTTGTTAGCATTTGTGCTTTTGGATGTATAGTTTGTTTTTCTCTTTAGTGAACTTGAGCAAATAACTAAATTGGCCTTGAAGAAGTAGATATGAAATAATAACAGATTAGTTTCTAGCAATATAGTCTTTAAATCATATACATGCATTTATATTAGTTAAAATAAAAACAGATACAAGCACATCATCAAAGCAGATTATTGCTTATGCAATTTTATACTAGAATATAAGATGTAATTTTAGAAGCCCTGACCAATTCTGTTTTAGCAGATAGTTTCAGCATTTTTACTTTGAAATAGATTTTAAATATTTCACATTTTCATTCATATTGTAATAATATTTATCATTCTTTGCATTGAAACTGCTGTTTTCCTTGGCTCCTAGGTTTGATATACGCTTGATGAAAGAAGGTCGTATGAAAGGTCAGGCTTTCATTGGACTTCCAAATGAGAAAGCAGCAGCAAAAGCCTTAAAGGAAGCTAATGGATATGTTCTTTATGGAAAACCCATGGTGGTTGTATCCTTTAAATCCATCTGTTCCAAAACCATTTAATTTTTGGAGGAAGTATATAGCAAGCCAGTGTCCATATAATGCTTTCAGCATCTCAGTGGATATTCTAGCTTACGTTAATCAGTTACAGTTAGACATACTTTAGCTAAGTCACATGACATTGCTATATTTTTACTGTAGCATAAAGGAACTTCAGCCTTTTGAGCTTACTGAAATCTTGTGAAGTCAATGTTTCAGGATGCAACTCAAAAGTCAATACTGGCCATACACTTAAGAGATTACCTGAGAGAAAATGCAAAATCCAAAAACAATTTGATTTAGTTTATCATTTATGTTGTAGTACAACTATTTGAGATTTTTGTGTCTGTGTGATGATTTTCTTTCTGTATCTGAGAGAAAGAACTCCCACTAGGTTCTCTTTTCAGATACCTTCAGTGGTTCCAGATGGGCCATTTTAAAGGTGGGAGCTAGGAACTCAGACCAGGTTTTCCCTGTGCGTGGCAACTATCCAACTACTGCAGCCACCATTGCTGCCTCTTAGTATGCACATTAGCAGGAAACTGGAATTGGTAGCAGAACTGTGGCCAACTGCAGGCACTCTAATATGGAATACAGGTACTAGGTGTAACTACTAAGCTCAATCCCTGTACTTCCCCAGCCTTTTAAAATTTGCATTTATTCATTTGGGAGGCAGGGAAATGAGATGCCTTTCAATTGCTAATTTGCTCTGTAAATGCCCAGGGAAACTGCATTGAGTTGGGACAGATTGAATCCTGAAGCCAGAATGCACGAACCCAGTGCCTGCCTCCTGCCTGGGTGGCAGAGACCCAAGAACTTGAGTGATCACTTGCTATACACAGTTCATGCACAGTTAGCATGAAGCTGAAATTCGGAGCAGAGCTGAGACTCAAATCTAGATATTCTCTTATGAAATTTAGGCATTTTAAATAGCATGTAATCCAGTGCAATGACTGTCCATCCCACCCTACCCATATCAAAGCCCACTCATGTCAGAATTACAGTAACCAGAATGTATCAGTAGTTAGCCATATTACTTTTGGTAATTAATAAAATTTGCAAACGAGTAAGTTAAATCATACTTCTATACTATGTTAGGAAATAATTTTTTTTTCTTTTTTAAATTATTTATTGGAGTGGCATAGAAAAAGAAAGCTTCCTTCTGATCGTTCAGTTCCCAGGTACCTGCAGAAATCTAGGCCAAAGTTGAAAGCTAAGGACTCAGTCTAGTCCCATGTTTGGATGAAAACAATCTGTTTATTAAGGTCTCATCTGACCCTACCTGGGCTGCATTAACAGGAAACAGGAGTTTAAGCAGCACCAGGCATCAAGCCTGTATGTTTGATGTGGAAGATGATGTCTTAGCTGTTAGAACAAGGAAAGTGCTTGATACTTATATGGATAAGATACTTATATGGATACTTATGTGCTGATGAAAAAAAAACCTTAATATTAAAACATTAGCAATTTGCTCGATCTGCTAGACCAAAGCAAGATTCTAAAGAAGGAAAAAGGAAATGTTAAAAATTAGTCAAGGTAAGTTGAAGAAAAAGCTTAAAAAGACAATATTAGTAGAAATAAAAGGATTGAAAGCCTGATAGTTTAGCAGTTTTGGTATCTCAAATTTTTCATGGCATACCTTGCCAGTAATTCCTGAAGTCCATTGTATATAAAATTAAGTATCGGTCACTCCTAGTTTTCTTTTTCCATCTGGAATAAAGCAGTGTTTCTTAAACTGCAGCATGCACATTGCATGGACATCACAATCGGCTACACTGCTCTCTGCCCACATCTTTGAGTTTGAATACATTAGGTGGAGACTAAGGTGACCACTTGTCCCAGTTGTCCTGAAACAGAGGAGTCTCCCAATATTAAGGACTTTCAGGTGGCAAAACAAAGAAAGCTCAAGGTAAGCTGGGACAAGTTGGTCACCCTTCGTGGCCCATGAGAATAGGCCTAACTGATAAATTTCCTACTAACAGAGAACTGGAACCACACTTGAAAACCTTCCAATGAAAACACTTAAAGAGAAATTATGTAGCTATTAAAATTCTATAGTACTGTGAATATAAAATTAATACATTCCATAACGTATGTTTTTGTGCAGTTAAGTGTGCCTTAAATAATTAGTAAAATTGACAGCATTAAGCATTTTGAGTTCTAAATTTTGTGTTGCATTATTTGATTCTAAAAAATGAATGGAATACACTTTTTTCAAATCCATCTGCCTTGTTAACTGGAGGAATATGAAATAAATTAGCCAAAATTACTCTTGGCCTGAAAAAAAAAAAAATCATGTGTATGGTTAATATTTAGTCCCTATGTAAGATGCGTAAAATATCTGTTTTCTATTGTACAGGTATAGTCAAAAGTCTTTTACTTTGGGGGGGCGGGGTCTTAACAGAGGAAAATTAGTTTGCATTTTTCATTTGGAAAAGTCATTTATTTGTAATCTAATGCTGGAGTCTAAGAAAAATTAAACTACATTTTGCTGTTCTTCTTTCAAAGCATTCCTGCGTAAATACTGCTGTAATACTCTCATACAAAGTGTATCCTTTCTTGTGGTATCCTTTTTGGGGCAAGGTTTTTTTTTTTTTCCTAGTATTGTTTTGTCCCTCTATCCATTGATCTAGATTAACATTTTTTAATACTTTATTCAAGTAAAATTTTTCTAAAATTGTGTAAATAGAGCACCTTTTTTGCTTTTTCTAGATGTTATTGAATTGTTTATGTATTGACTTTTGTTTTTCTATAATTTTCATACAAACTTAGTGAATCAGGTCAACTTTGAAAAATGTGTGCATTTGCTGTAATCATGATAATCTTTCTTCTGTTTAAGGATTTCCTAAACCTGATTCAAAAGCATCTGCTTTCTGTTAATATACAATTTAGGTGTTTTACGTAAGGTGTCAATTTTGGAGAAAAACAGCTGAATTTTGTGAATTCCGAATGAGAGTAGCATGTCACTTTTGAAGTTTATCACTGAAAGCTCCTTTAACTGTACCAACTAGAAATATCTCTGCAGGTTTTGTAAACAACCCAAAAACTAGAAAGAATAAAAAAACAGAGGGGTAAAAGACAGTATTGACTTAAGATAGCCCTTTAAAAAAATGCTTCTGATAGATAAACAAAAACAGGGGCTTTCAAACCGGTTCGTCATTGGAATCACCCAGAAGAGCAGTCAGTAAGAAGCAATAGATACTGATGCCTGATTCTCACCTCCAGGTTTTGACTTAATTTTTTCCCAGTATATGGCTGTTGGTGTGTTTTTCAAACCTGTCAAAATGATGCTAATATAACTTCCAAGGTTGAAAATCCATCAGAAAAGTGTATTTGCACAGAATAATTCTTGGACTTTGTTTATACTGACATGCTTCACTAATTTTCCAAGTATGAATGTTTGCATTTATTTTAAACTAATGAAGTTTTGGGCTTATGATTACTTTTAATTGAATTTCTATGTTTTTAGGTTTCTCTTGAATTCCCTATCTTCCAAGTGCTTTTCAGCTTGCGAAGAAATTTGCCAGGTGGACTGTGGAACTGTGCGTAACAGCTTTGAAAATGTTTTTAAAAATTAAAATCCATATTCATTTAAGTTAGCTTATTGGAGATACATGTGATTTAATGAGTTGCCCTCTATATAATAAATTATTTTCATTCCAATAAAGTAGTGTTCGTAATTTTTTATGCATTTTATGTGTGTAATTTTCTATGAAGACTCTTAAATCTGTAATTACAAAATTTCTTAAAGCAATACTTATTTTTTTAATTTTATGGTTAAAAATCATGATTTAATTATTATTTTTTATTCTTAATCTGAGTGCCTTTTTTCTGCAGTAATTTTATTTATTTTATCCAGTTTAGAAATGTTTTGATTTGACTGGTTTTATTGGGTTTTTGCTTATTTTATTTTTGCTAGTGAGGGATTTATCCTGGGTCATAAATTTTTTAGAATTAAGTAAATCAAATCTTTCATTTTTGTATCCTGTATCCTCAAAGCATTTCTCACAGTGCCACCTTCTATTTAGAATGGCTGCCCAAAAACTCAAAACATGTAAAATGTGATATGAATCCGTTTCTTGCCTTTCTTAGAATGTTGCGAAATGGAGAAGTAAGAAAATTACAAGTTAGGTATAAAATGAGAAGCATAAAATGAATCATGCCAAATGCTAATGCTGAGATATCAAGTAGATAGAAAGCATGAAAGCAGCCTAAGAAAGAACAACTAAAAGCCAAAGAAAGCGTCACAACAAGGGAAAGAATGAAGTATGTTAACCTTTCTAGTGAGTCAAAGATTTGCTCTTCATGCCCCACATTGGGACCCCTGGGCTGGTGTCAGGTGGCTGTCTTCCCATCCCAGGGTGTAGAGGCATTTGGGAGGCTGGGTGTGACTTCACCCCTCGTCCCCCCACTTTCCACAGATGCAGGAAGGAAAACAAGAGAATGTGGTAATGGTAATCTTACCCACGTTCCTGTAGCCTTTGACCCTATCACCTTAATCAACTATGTAAAAATCATCAAAAATAAAAAATTAATTAGAAGAAAAAAAGAATTTGCTCTCGTGATTGAGCATTTGGTTTAACAGCATTTGAAGCCTTTCCCTTGACAAACTTACTTCGTGAATGGAAGGAGTGAGAAGTGATTCATGTTAATTGTGCAGAGGAATTTTGTAAGAATTGAGGGCAATTCTTTCTATAGGAACCTTGCTTGTAGGGGAAGTAGAGAAATGGATTAGGATAATAGAGTATCAGAATGTTTTTTGCAAAGACTAAAGATATGGCAGATTTGTGATACTGAAACTAATTGGATTGAAAAGTGTGTTGGAATGAGAGATATTGCTAGAACCACAGATCCAGTGTGTATGTTATTAAATTATGAAACTATCATTATTACCAATCAGATAAAGTATCTAGATAATGAGGATCTGAATATTTATACTTGGATAAGTAGAAAGACCCTGTAAAGCTTTGTTTTCTCAGTGAAATGGAAAAGGAGGGTGTGAAGAGTATGGAGAAATAATAGATGTAAGGCATTAATTGTGAAAATGCAAGTTGAATTACACTGAAAGTCCCCATCCTGCTTTGGTTAACAGAAAGACCAGTCTAAATAATTGGTTGAGAGGCTGTATTATAGTGGTTTTAGTGGGATAGGTTGTTTTTGACTTTAGAGAAATTCTTTACCCTCCTACATTTTATTTCCTTTGAGAGTAATATGTACCTTAGGGTTGTGAACTGAACAGTAGTCTTGACGTAAAGTAAGTTCCCACATGTTAACTTTTCATTATGATTCACAGCAGTTTCATCATGTTTTATGTTGATAAAATACCATTTATTTGGCTTACAGTTCTGAAGGTCCAAAAATTTGGTTCTGATCACCATTTTGCCCTGTTGAGGGCCATGAGATGGATGGCATCTCAGTGGCAGAAACCAAAGACAGGAAAGAATGGTCAGCTAGACCAGAAGCCAGAGAACTAGGAGAGGCCAGTCTTGTGAAGCTGGAGCTACATGAGAACTACTTAACTCCTTTCTGAGGGTCAGGACCCTGGGGACCCAGTCACCTTGTCCTAGAACTCTCTTTACAGGTCCCACTGCACTGAGAACAGTGTTCTAAAGCATGAAACCTTGGAAAACAGAACCAAGTCATTTCCAAATTATGGCATCAGTCTACCTCACTCCTGGTTATGTAAAATCCTGAGGTCTATAGCAAGCCTTACTCATCCTTCCCCCTTGATTTCTGACTGAGATACCCAGCATTCCTATTGTTTTCTTACTTGGAACATGGCAGTATTTGACAACATTTTAGAACTTAAGATGTTCAGACAAGACTTAACATGTCTGTGGGTAATGCACAAACATTCTCAACATTATACTTGCTATGTAAGTTAAACCTATTACCCAAGTATGCTGAATTAGAAGAATTTCTAAGAATTAAACTGTAACTTTATTTGGTAGAATTGGGTTTGGCAGTTATCTTGTTAATAGCTATGGTCTTGTACATGAGTCTTAAGGACATGTCATTGTAGAGTTGGAGAAACACTGATAATTTGAACTTCAAACAGAGCCACAACAGTGGCCCTATTACTCAGAATTTTGAAGTACTTTAAATAATATATTTTATTTACTTTTCTTTTAATTAGAAGGATTTATCAATGTAACTTGCTAAATATGGGTTAGATATCGCCCTGAGACTGAAGAATGGAATTTCTTATAAACTATAAGATGAAAATAGGTGCTTGTTTTAAGGAAGCCACCAAGAATTGTGCTGTGAAATCAAGAGGAAAACAAGATACAAAGCAGCTAAAAACAAGATTTTTGTTGCAGTATACAATATATGTAATTTTTACTTGGATGTGATGGTTTGCCTCTTCTAGCACTGAACTTGCATGAGATCAACAAGGCACATGCATTGCAGAATTTAAGGAGGCTGTTACAGGATAATGAAAAACTCTTCATTCTGGTCTTGTTTGTTGTTTGACTCTGGGTCTGAGTAATATGAACAGAATCAGGAAAATCGTGGTTATGCAGGGGTGGAGAATGTTGGCCCGTGGGCAGCGTGACACCTGTTAGTTCCCCATCTATGGAATACGGTATCATTCAAGTTTTATTTTCAAACATTTAGAAAGTATTGACTCCTTTAAATCTAGATCAGGGGCTCAGCACAATAGCCTAGTGGCTAAAACCCTCACCTTGTATGCTCCAGTTCCTGTCCCAGCCACCCCACTTCCCTATTGATATCTGCTTGTGGCCTGGGGAAACTCAAGGATGGGCCAAAGTCTTGTGTCCCTGCACCTGGAAGAACTCCTGGTTGGGCTCAGCACAGCTCCAGCTATTGAGGCAACTTGGGGATTAAATCAGCAGACAGAAGATCTTCCTGTCTATTCTCTCTGCAAATCTTACTTTCCAGTAAAAAATTTTTTAAATAAAGTAATCTTTAAGTCAAGATCAGCACATAAATAAGATTTTCGTAACAAAGGGCACAGAAGCAAGAACTTTTCAAGCATCTGAAACTCAAAGGGGAATGTTTACGTGTGTGATTATTTTGCCTTTACAATTAGGAGAAAATCTTTCCTGTTGTCAGTATTGGAAAGTTCTTTAGTGTGACAATTATAAGCATAAGATCTTTTATCTTTATCTTATTCTTTTTTTTTTATTTTTCTTGCTTGCTTTATTTTATGATTTGAAGATTTATTTATTTTTATTTGAAAGGCAGATACACAGAGAGGAGGAGAAACAGGAAGATCTTCCGCCTGATGGTTTACTTCCCAGGCAACCACAATGGCTGGAGCTGAGCCAATCCAGTGCCAGAAGCCAGGAGCTCTTCTGGGTTTCCCACAGGGGTGCAGGGTCCCAACGCCTTGAGCCATCCTTGACTGCTTTCCCAGGCCACAAGCAGGGAGCTGGATGGGAAGCAGGGCTGCTGGGATTAGAACCGTCGCCCATATGGGATCCTGGCGTATGCAAGGCAAGGGCTTTAACCACTGCACTATCATGCCCGGCCCTATCTTATGTTATATTGGCCTTGGTAGAGTTACTCATTTGTAATGAGAGCTCAGCTGTGAGTCTTTTGCATAAAAACTTGGAGCCAGTGCTGTGGCACAGTATGTAAAGCTGCTTCCTACCATCCTGCACGAGTGGTGCTTCATTTCCTGTCCTGCTGTTAACATTGCCAATGTGGGTCCTCGATAATGACCCTGGAAAAGCAGAGGATGATGCAAGTGTGTGGGCCCATATCTCTCTAAGCTCCTGGCCCCTGGCTTCAGCCTGGCCCAACCCCAGACCATAGTTACCTGTGGAGTTAACCCATGAATGGAAGATATCTCTGGCACTGTAACTTTCAAATAAATGAGTCTTCAATGTAAACCTTTAACTCTTTAATTAAGTCTTAACTAAATATTCAAAAGACATAAGATGACCCTGTACGTAGTATGAATAAACATTAAGTCATTGGGTAAAAAGGAGACAATGAAGGAAAAATTAGGAAACAAAACAGGACTTAAAGGACTTTAGAGCATCAGTGTTTAATTGGTTAATATACAAAGTAGCTGGTTGTGTTTGTTGTTCATAAATGAGATGAGTGTTCACAACTCAAGAAATTTTAATTTGAAAATTATAACTTATGCATTGGTGTTTTTGAAAATAAAAACTCAAGAAGAAAGCAACTGTATGTATAGGAAAAATGTTGACATATAGAACACAGCTATATATTGTTCATAGAAATAGAATGAAGCAAAATCTTTAAAACACAATGAGATGTTCTATTAGAAATGAGTGTGTTCTCAGGCTCGGCACGGTAGCCTAGCAGCTAAAGTCCTTGCCTTGGACTTGCCAGGATCCCATATGGGCACGGGTTCTAATACCAGCAGTTCCACTTCCCAAATAGCTCCCTGCTTGTGGCCTGGGAAAGCAGTCAAGGACAGCCCAAAGCCTTGGGACCCTGCACCCAAGTGGCAGACCTGGAAGAGTTCCTGGCTCCTAGCCTGGGATCGGCACAACTCTGACTGTTGTGGTCACTTGGAGAGTGAATCATT